CCGGAAGAATTTTTAGAAATACATGCGCCCTCTGCGGCAACCACTGGAGTGCACACTTATCGAACCAGGGCTAGCTGACAAAATCTTCTACAAAGTTCCAGAAGTGTTAGCGCACCATCAGGTGAGTCCTTCAAATTTTCCATCCTTTTGGGTACTCTTTTGAAACGTTTGAAGGGAGAGTCGGGCGCTTCTTCCAAAAAAGGCGGTGTGAGTACTACACGCGTCACGAGCGCGATTGTCGCGCGCTAAGGCTGGCGTGGTTGTGCCTCTTAACAGGTTGCTTTCATACTTTGTGCGGACATGTGGAATGTGCGGATATTGCGAAAAGAGCTAGTATGGAATGCTGGCGTATAGCGCGCGATATCTTCCATTACTTCACTGGCAGGCATCCGATTGAAGACACACCCCTGGGTGCGCGCCAAACTTCATGCGTCAGCATTCCGTACTGGCGCCTTTCGCACTATCCGCACTTTCCACCAATTTTGCGCATTCCACAACGGCGCTAACTATGAAAGCAGCTTTGCTCATTCGGCTACACAAGCCCTTCTGTTCCCACAATCAGATCACACAGCGTAATGACTTGTTTAGGTCCTACTTGCTGCGCTCAGCTCGAGAATCGAAGAATGGGACAAGGACAGCGTCATTGGTGACGTTTTGCTATCACATGTGAGTGCTCATTTCATCGATTTCTTCCAAAATTGACTTTCTTCCTGACACGGGAACGATACAAAATCGAAAAGGCCATTCGTAGTGAGAGATGTATTTTTGAACGCTGATCTCAAATCCACTCTCCAAATTCGTGGAACGATTCTCTGAAAAGAGTACGGGGGTTGTTCCGAGTGAATCGACTTGGTATCCTTCCCTTGTGAGAGAGAACCTTCAAACCCTTTCCCATTCTCCTCTTCTCTCTCTCGTACATGCTTTATGCCACGGTCTTCAAGCGCCCTCGCAAAATTTATTTCTGTTCTTTCTAATTTTCGAGCTTCACTAAACACATGGTCACGTGGTCACGCACCCCTAAGTGTGGGACATTAGGTCCAGGTTTTAGTCGCACGAAATCCAACGCTCTAGCAACACCTCAACGTAGGCATATCTGATGTACCAAGTCCAAAAGTGTAGTTCCGAGTCTTTTGTTTTGTCCATTAATGTTAATTCCTATTATATATGCCTAACTATATATATTTACCAGTTTAGCTCCGCCCGCTACCGCGCGCATTGATAGAACTGACAATCGATGAAGCTTTAGGTTTCACCGCTAAATTATAGCTGCTTCGTTAAATGTATTACTGTCCGTTGCATAGGCTGCCCATCTTGGCTGTATCTCACTGTTTGATAAGCGCAGTGAAGTGCACAGCTAAAGTGATGATGTAAACAACCACTATGCGTCGAGTATCGAGGTAATTTAGCGGTCGAATATCTCAAAACGGAATGCCTAGTATTCATTATCATATTTATTCGAGCATCCCATTCATCCTCAAGAACTCTAGAAGGTGTAGCGGTCGAAAGGTGTTTGAGTTTACAATTACAACGCTGATGAAATGATATTGAAATGAAAGGCATTATCTACAATCTGCTCTCTATTCTCTATTTCAAGTGCTCTCTACGTTCGTACGCATGTCGTTATATCAGTCGTCATCAGTCGTTATCACTTTGGTGACCCCACCAAATATGTTTCCCGTCCCACCCCCTATATCATGTCCCAAAATCAGCTCCTGACGACTGCTGCGAAGCGCACTATGAATTTCGCGACACTTGCGTTCTAGCGCCTTTTATCAGCCCTTATCAGTTGTTATCACTTTCTGTACCCCACCAAATATGTTCCCGTCCCACCCCCTATATCATATCTTGAAACCAACTCCTGACGACCACTGGTGCCCGAGCTATGAATTTCGCGACACTTGCGTTCTAGCGCCTTTTATCAGCCCTTATCAGTTGTTATCACTTTCTTTACCCCACCAAATATGTTCCCGTCCCACCCCCTATATCATATCTTGAAACCAACTCCTGACGACCACTGGTGCCCGAGCTATGAATTTCGCGACACTTGCGTTCTAGCGCCTTTTATCAGCCCTTATCAGTTGTGATCACTTTCTTTACCCCACCAAATATGTTCCCGTCCCACCCCCTATATCATATCTTGAAACCAACTCCTGACGACCACTGGTGCCCGAGCTATGAATTTCGCGACACTTGCGTTCTAGCGCCTTTTATCAGCCCTTATCAGTTGTTATCACTTTCTTTACCCCACCAAATATGTTCCCGTCCCACCCCCTATATCATATCTTGAAACCAACTCCTGACGACCACTGGTGCCCGAGCTATGAATTTCGCGACACTTGCGTTCTAGCGCCTTTTATCAGCCCTTATCAGTTGTGATCACTTTCTTTACCCCACCAAATATGTTCCCGTCCCACCCCCTATATCATATCTTGAAACCAACTCCTGACGACCACTGGTGCCCGAGCTATGAATTTCCGGTCAGACAGACAACACACATACACACACACGCTAGCCGCTTATATATAGTAGGATATTCTGCGTCAAATGACTAATGATACCCAAGAAAAGAGCCCAGAAAAAAAAAGATTGAGCCACAACATCTCAAATATTACGCGGCACAGTTTTCGAGTAGGGTCACAGTACTAAACAAAGGATTTTCAAATAAAATTGTGAAGAGGACCTCCCCTGAGAGGCATTTCACACCGTCACTCTGGTTTATTTCTATGAGTTATACTCCAGTCACGTCCTAGCGGTGAAGACATCGCCGATGACATACAACCATTTAAGTGGTACGAGTGTGTCCTCAAACGTTTTGGGCAAAATAGCATAATTAAAAAAATGTTGTAAATTTTTTCTTCTCTTTTCTGAGTCATGCAGTCGGTCCCGCTTTATCTGTTGTAACTGGCGCGTCACTGAACGCACAAGTAAACAAATAAATAAATAAAAATAAACAAATAAAAGAAAGTTTTTAGTTTGCTAAGCAATCGATGATCGAGACATACATATCGTTCGTGGACAACTTCAAATTTGCTAAAGCTGCTATCACACAGGCTCGTGGAAAGCCGTCCTTTGAGAAGTACTACAATGTAAGTTTCAGTTTGGAATATGGGAAGTGGGTGAAGTATTCATTGCTACACTGTCCCACAGTCTCATCGGTTCAAAGGTTCTGAACTGATGTTTTGGTGTTTTGGCCCCTTTAACAGAAGGTATAAGGGAGTTGCGGAGGTAATGAAAAAACAACAACTTTGAACTCTGATTTCAAACTTCCTGTTTCAAAAGCGATATAAATCCAGCGATCATGCTCTCGTTATTGCTTCGAACCGTTGTCACGTGATCCAGCTACTCAGTCATCAAACAGAATGCGATTTCAGAGATGTTGTCGAGATCATCGGAACAAGCTCGATCTGGATTCGCTGCTGATCTCACCCATACAGAGAGTACCCAGGTATGATTTCTTGTCGAGATTTCACGTCACTAATCGCTTCAAATTAACCTTGTCATTCTCGGACAAGACCACTCATCGCGCTGGGTTGTGGGTTGGGACCAGGGTCAACCCTATCGTTGTTACTCTTTGGAAATTTTTTACGACCCCCCCCCCTTCATGGGTGATTTGATACGACCCCCCTTGTATGTGACACTTGTGTAGAGACAGTGTTTACCATCAATATTTATTTCTACGTAAGTCATCAAAGATGAAACTTTAGCAAAATCCACGACAGATATTCATCGCTGCTTCCAAACACGAAAAAATGAGATGCATTCAAAGATATCCGTGTACTCCAAAGGGTTACCAAACTAGGAGATGAAATAAACTGAACCAGTGACCGGAATATTGACAATATTACCTGATAAAAACTTATGAGAAGTCAGAAAAAATTATCGCTCCAATTGAAATACTGAAATCCTTCACGTTCTTCAATTGCAACACAATTTTTACACCCCTCTTTCTAAGGCTATAACTTCCTTCATATTCGAGCTTCTGCGCCGAAGTGATTTGATTTGGAAAATTCAAATTATTCTCTCTCCAACCATGGGTAAAAATTCTTCGAAAGTTAATTTAATAAAAATTTAGTACGTTGTTACTTTTTTCTGTGCAAAGGCGACTTTTTGACCTTCAAACGATCATAACTTCCTTTCAAAGTCATTCATTTGGGAAGCTGAACACGTATAATAAACTACAGGATTCAAGCTTTCTAACGAGCACCCAAGCGTTCCTGAAAGATCAGTAGTTCAAAAATTAGTCCCGTTGTTACTTTTTTGGGGGTTTGCGTTACTATTTTTTTGGAACCGCGACTTTTTGACCTTCAAACGATCATAACTTCCTTCAAAGTCATTCATTTGGGAAGCTGAACACGGTATGTAAAACCTACAGGATTCAAGCTTTCTTAAGAGCACCAAAACGTTCCTGAAAAGTCAGCAGTTCAAAAATTAGTCCCGTTGTTACTTTTTTTTTTGAGGGGTATTCTTCAAGCCATTTTCCGAAAACGCGAGTTTTCTTAGGTTTCACTGCCCGTAACTTCTTGGAAGACCAATGTCATGTTTAACTTAGGATGTGCTAGAAAGCTTCGAGCATGCGCTTGCACTACATCCCTTGCCTTGGTGCGCGCCACGCCTCGGGCGCCCTTCTAATTCGCTGATTCATTTGAAAGCTCATTTAGAGGGAAGCGTGGTTTATAGATGCTCTAGTATCAGTCATCTTACGAAAACGTAACGTGCTGGCTATTATCCGATATTACCAAGAATCCCACTGTCGGCCACCGAGAGGGTACGACCCCCCCCCCTCCAAGCTCAACTGAGTACGACCCCCCGTTGTTACTCGTAACAACGTAGGGTTGACCCTGGTTGGGACCGCCCTCTGACCCCTACCAACAATGACGTTCAATGACGTCAGTGGAATCGCACCGCCCTCCACCGTCGTATTCACTGCCTTCAGTACACCCCATGATTAAACTGTCGAGATTCTTGCACTCGAATGCGAAAGCAGGGGTGCACATTGGATCCTTAGCGAAGGAAAAAAAGCAAGAATGTGTCGAAAAAGCCTAAATCAGGGAAATACAAACCAACAAACTGGTTTTAGTCAATCGGCTATGCTAGTCAAGATAGACACCGTGCGTGGAGAAGAGAATATAGGCGAGGGAGCAGAAGAGCTGACAGTGCGCAGACACTGTCATAGTGCAAGAGAGGAAATATGAAGGCAGTCGCAGCGGTTCGGAGCGTTCCCTTCCCTGTCGCACAAATTTAAACCGCAACTGCATTTATGTGTGCCTTCTCCCTGAACATCCCATGAACGGTATGTTGAGCAATCTTTACGCATTGCAAGTGGACCTGTTCATGGCTGTGCCAGTTTCGAACCCAATGCCGAAAGCTGAAGGCATAGGGAGATTGTTTCACAGAGCCTGGGCCTTTCTCCGCCCTAATATGGACGTGATGGTCATGCGTATCGCTTTCTGTTTCCTCTCTCGCCTCTAGCCCTACCAATTTCAAAAAAGGGTTCTCCGGCAATTTGACGGACCTCTCGCCCTTTTCTGCAATGAGGACCAGATAGCGCTCAGAACTTCATTTTTTGTCTCACCACCCCATTCTGCTGCAGTGTAATGGGCCCTTTAACGTGGTTTTGGAGTCTTGAGCGCTCCCAGATGGTTTCCGTGGTCACCTTTTAAAGTAGCTATGACGACATATATAGCGGAACATTCTAAAGGGTTTTTTGCGCCTGAATTGGTCCCAGTTCTCCAAACCAGTTTGACCAGATGAAATTCAGATATGAACTACTTGTCAAGCAACTAATCAAGCATACACCTACCGAACATGCCGATCACGAGGTGCTGCTGAGAGCGCAACGACACATTCATAACTTGGCGGTGAGTTACTTCTAGTCCTTTTCATATTTCTTTCGTAATGGGTTTAGACATTTGTTGAGTTTCGGAGTGACATCCGATGACATCAAGAGCATCAAAAGGTGAAATGTGATATGGATTTAATTGCTCTCTATGGTCTTACCAAGTCTGCAATTACGACGAGAGCAGCTTTTATTATTAAACAGATTAGGGTTTTTATAAGAGAGTGGCAGGAAACTTTTTTTGAGGTCATTTCTTTCAAGTGTTGCTGTTAACTTGGAAGGTCCCCATCCACTTCTCTACAGTAAATTTGAGCTCATATTGAATGTCGTGTGTATCGTCGTAGTGACTTTAGGTCTAGTAATGGTCCAAAAATAGTTCACCCACACGTCAGGGTAGCTTCAAATTCTTCTGACGTCCTGTCAATAAGCCCAGTGTTCAAATTATAATGCTCTGATTTTTATTGATTCCCCTGAAGACCCTCACGTTCTAGTAAGGAACCCTAAATCGATGAGTATCAGCGCGTTTGTGGAACCTCACCTTCTGTTCCACGCTTTCGAATTCTGATCACGCTTTAAGAGACCATTGAATCTTTCTGGCGAACGGAGGAAAGGGTCGTGGAGCGAGAGCAGAGAGTGAGTGAGAGATTTAACAAAAGATGCGAATTAATCACGTTTTGACTGATATTCAAATCGATTTCTTTTAATAAAAACTGAAGCCCATGCTTATTATACAGAACTTACATATGTCCTACTACATCGAAGACATCAGAAGGATCTGCTGTGGAAGCGTGGTGCACAGGTCGAGTCTCCACGGTCTCGATGAACATTACCCTCGCCTTCAAATGACCAGAAATTGTGCAATTGCAGAAATTGACGTGGCATTAACGTGGCATCGATTCAAGAACATCTTTGAGCACACGTGATGTCACCTTTTCATCGAGAATTTAGCCACGTGTGCCAATGCCACGTCAATTTCTGCAATTGCACAATTTCTGGTCATTTGAAGGCGAGGGTAACCCTTACAGTGTCTCAG